AAATACTAGGAACAAGCCACCACCTTCTTTCTGCTCTTCCAATCTGCGAACTACTTCTGGTAACATGTAATATTTTGTGCATCTTCCTTATAAGTGTGTTTGAACTGCAGAGTGGGGAAGCAGTCAATGCATGTACTAATTTTCAGTACAAAGTTTCAAACTCCTTCCCTGAAGAATCTTTCAATACATCTTTTAATACATGAATATTTTCTGAGAATGTTTCACAAACTACCTAGATTATATCAACATCCCTTGTACTTCCAAAACATGTCTTTTCCATCTTCTATTTACAAAGATTTATCAGTTACTTCCATTTCAGGGAGCTCAATTTGATAAACTCTTTTAGTTTTTCCTTGATATAAGCCATCTATCCATCAAGTACAAACATTCCCTATCATACAGCCCAGTTACTGAGACCTATTTGAAAAAACATGCTTTGTTTTTCTGAATGAAGAACTCCAATAGTTTTTCAATTAAAGACATTTCTTCAGCCTAAATGCTTTTAAAGAAAACATGAAAATAATAAACTTCTTATACTATACTATTCTTAGACATCAAAATCTAAGTTGATGCTAAAAATATTAGATTTTTATTGTGGCCTGTGTGTCATATAACTACAGGCACTTTCAAATTCACTGTATTTAGAGGACACACCTGATGACAACCACTGTTCTTGTTTTTGATGAAGAAACTGAAAGGCTTAAATTACTTAAAGTTAAATTTTTGTTGTTCTTACCTCTACATTGATGAGTAGTAACTCTTTTACTCTGAAGCTTATAATCTGACCAGAACACACATTACAGGCAATAATTAAAGCCAGTGATGCACCATACAACTCTCTAAAGGTTAATTCAATTGTGGTGATTCTAATAATACATGACAGCAGGTTGGATTTATTTCAGAAGTGTAAGAGTCGGATCTAAGGTTTATGGTCATCTCCTAGCCACTGGCATCACAGTCAAACGTACCATTTTGCATCTGGCAGGCAGCCGGCTGTGAGGGAGTGTGGGTAGGGTAGGACAGCAGCAGGGATGGGCATTGAGGGGAAGGCTCACGGGCACTTACGTGAAAGAATCTTGTCTGTTTGGATATTGCTCTAAAGAGGAAAAAGCAGACTGCCAGAAGGGTAGACTTTCAGTTCTGATGCCAAGTACATTTGTTGATACTGTTAGTTGAAATGAGTTATTAGCAAAACATACTGTCACTCTAGTTCTTTTTTAATATATGGCATATCGCCCTATGAAACACTGGTGGATTTCTGATCATAACTCCTAATTAGCAGTCATGACCTCTTTTCCCATTGAAAGATAAGGACTTACCTGAAAATGATGCAGAAAACCTTTAAAAACACCCCCCACCCCAAACAATTAAAGTACCGAAACACAGAAAAGCCTTACATGCGTTTCACTTTGATGGCTTCTTCAAGACAATTCTGTGTTAGCAATGCTTTTATAAGGATGCCATAAGAACGATGATGAAGCTCACTCTTCCCTTGCATTTTCAGGAAAATGTTGTAGGCTTCTAAAATAGAAAAAAAAAAGCCAAAATGAAATGTCGTATTGTGATGACGTTGATCAAAGAAACCACCTATTCATTGAAAAGGTCCATCTTAAATCTATTATCTTCTGCTTACATCCTTGAGCCCAAAGCTGTTGGTCACAGCTTGTTCAAAACTGCTTGTAGACAACAATCAACTGACACATACCTCCACAGAACAAAAAGTTTGCTACTGCTGTTTTTCTACATGTGGCTGTTGCTTAAATAACACCACAGCTGGTTAGAAGGGGAAGACTCAGGATTTTTAAAGCAACACCTAATTCTGGGGTATATAGCTACAGTGTCTGGTGCATGATCACAACAGCATTTAACAAATAATATAGGAGGTGATTCCAATCTGGGGGGATCAAATTATTTGGCTACGACAAGATTTATACAAAACATACAATTTACAAATACACAGATATTTAACAAGTAAACTACACTGCATTTGTTTGACTGATTAACAGTTTTATTTCATGCATTCACAATAACTGTCAGTGTATGAAAAGATGTTACCCAAGGTGTGTGGGGGGGAGATAAGCACAATTTTCAGTCATTTATTTTTCTGAAACAAGATTATGCAGCTATAAACATGCAACTAAAACTGCTATCCAGGCTGTAACATGTTGGAAAGCTCTGTTAAGAACCACAAATGATCTTCTACATCTAAACTGTGACTGCATGTTCCATTTAATGAGAATCAAAAAATAACCCCTGTGCTAATTTAAATCACAGCCACAATAACCTTTAATATTTTTCAGAAATACTTGGCCTATCACCACAAATTTCACAGTGTTAAGTTTTTTTTCTTATACTTCAAAAGTAAAGATGAAGACCTTCATTTGAAGACTCATTTGAATCTTGTTGTCACAAGAAGTGTCACGCTAACGGCACTTACTAGAGTGTGCTGCAGAATTTTAAGCTGGTATTCCCCAAACCAAAACTGTTAATGTGCACTTTAGTTTAAATCTTAAACTTCTTCAGCCAAAGAGTATACATAAAAATCTCCTGAAATGTAGGCACAAAAATGACTATGCATAAATTTTATTATTTACAACACAAACTCTTCCATTGAGTTCATAATTAGAATTAACATTCCCATCCATACTTCGGACACCTGGAGCTACATGAAATATATATATATATGAACAGAGATAAAGGATAAGAACACCACAGTAAAAATTAAATCCACCTCTGTGTATGTGAGTTTCATGCATGAGAGAGAGAGAGAGAAAGGGTCTTGAAATCCTCTACCACATTTACTTATAGGTCTGAGGTTAAAGCTTGACCTGTTGCAATGTGCTGAACTCTTGCCTGCTCAGACACTGAACACCTGTATTCATAGAGTGTTAACTTCAGTGGGAAAGACATTTTTCTGGAATCTGAGGTACTAGTAGACTAGCAATCACATTCAAAAATAACAAAATACTTTTCACTAGTATAATCTATTACAAGTGTAACTAATTATTTCATTAACATAAATGAGGCTGACTGGTGGTAGGTTTGTTCTTTCTGCTTATGAAAGCCTGTTTACACTTTGATTTTTTAAAGCCAAAACATCTTTATGTTTACAGACTCCTACAAAAGCTCTGCTGTCTTCAGATTGAACCAGGATTTCACCCTGTTTTTGAATATTGCTTTCCACTGGCTGCGTACAGAAATGGAACTTGCCACCTCCTCTCAAATACTGCACCTTTAAATAAAAGAATATGCAGGGATAATTTACTGATAAATTCAGTATCAATTGTCATCATAGACTGTTAGCAGTTATGTTTTGCATTTTTGTTTTAAACTAGTCTCCCTGCAAGGTCCAAGGCATGTTTAGTTTCCTCCTACTCTCTACTAGATCATTTATGATCTCAAAGGCACAGGACATGTTTCTAGAAATAACGTTACAAAATGGATTCACTAGATTTTGCCTGGTTTTCAGTGAAAAACATTTCTGCGTTTCTCCTATTTCCTTTTGATTCCCCAAATTTACTAGAATGAAGAATTTCCAGAAAACATTTAAGTTAATGTCTGCTACACACGATTATTTAATTCATATACATAACACGAGACTGCACTCCTACATACAGAATATTCAGACTTCACTTTATCTAATTGGTGCTCCTGTGACTGAATAACTATAGGGTCATTTCTCTAAGAACAGAAGTTAACTGTGTGAATGACTGACAAATTCTTCTTTTAAAAACTCAAACCTTAAAAATCTGTGCGTTGAACCTGTAAAATATAGTGATAACACTCAAAACCTTCCTCATACAGGAAAATTAATTTTTTTAAACCTATTTAATTCTATTTTCTAATCTGCTTTCAAATGAGATACCTAGTTATTTGACATAGTGGTCTTTCGTGTATTTCTTTGGGGGAGGACCAAAGTTTGCAAATTCCACAGAGAAACATGGATGACACTTTAATCTTAATTGTAAAGAAGCTAAAAGACACTGCGCAAAACATTGAATCCTCCCTTCAAATAGAAATAAAGCCTTGTAACATCAACAAATAGAAAACTAACAGATAAAAACCCAGATATGAAGAGAGCAATGATTACCTCCATAACATAGTCCTGTCTCATTTAATCTAATCAAATTTCTTTGCCAAGTCTACAGCTTAAATAAGGTGCCTGAAGTACACTTGGGAACGGTATCTGATCTTATTATTAAGACTTCAACAGCAGGGGCAAATACAAAAATCTCTGAACAACTTCTTTTAATAAGTAACTGCTGTCTCATGAACATGTCCCAGCTATTGCAGTTGATATTAATCTTTCTTCTCAACTATACTTCCCATGTCTCACACCATAAAACTTGTGACCAAAATGCTAGATTTTCTGGGAACCATAAAATTGGTATTTTTAGCATCAATCTGTACATAAATTTAGTTTCTGTTTTTTAATGGATACATTTGGAAGTCTAGAACATCATGTTAACCCAACAGTACAAAGCGAACTACCAACCAGTAATATTTTGGTAATTTTAAAATTGGCAACTTGACTGTAGACTGGCTTTCAAGCATACATTTCGAAAGTCAGCATTTCAAATGACATTTCAATATTTTAGCATATCCCTCTCATACCAGCTTCTGAAGCAGAACACTGGCAGGTAACATTATCACGTACCTTTCCTAACATACTAGCAAACCAACAAAAAGCAGCAGCAAGCATTTGTTGCTCTGTAGTTAATCAAAATCTTTAAATTAATGCTGATGGGGTAAAAAACCAGTGGTTTTCAGTTTACCTTTTGCATTGCTATTCTTGCAAAGCATCCTTATTTTTCTTTCTTCCACATTAGAAGCACTTAAACTTCTGGTGTCTTCATGTCCAACCTTTAAAACAAACAAACCTATTTAAGTTACTGTAATGCTATCTGTTAACATTTTTCAATGGAAAGAAATACATTCAAAAGTATTGTTAGCTAGGAAAGTTAAACTCCAGTTACCTTAGGTACCTCAAATGGAACAACCTGACCATTTTTCTCAAGTATATCAGCCAGTAAGGTTAGTGTTTTCTCACGAGGAACAACATTTTCGTCTTGAATTTTAGTCCAAACAGCTTCAGCCTTTCTCCAGTCACTGTTGTTCTCTGAAACAAGATTCAAATCTTCAGATGAAAGCACGTTTAAAGTATACATACATTATCTAAAGTGATTCAAAAATGGTGTCTTTGGAAAGTAATTCATCAATTAATCATGTACTTCTGCTTCATATGATCATCAACTTTAAAACTTCTAAACTACTTTATAACACACAGAGGACACCAGAAGATGCAAATGCCAGAACAACAAAAAATCCCAAAAGAATCATATGAATTTTCAAATGAATGTGAAATCAACTCAAACATATTGCAGAAGTGTTCCTCCTAGCTCATCAGTTATAATATTCTTGACTGTTAATTGTAGAAACAATTACAAAAACTTCTACAAAACATTAACATTCTACAGTACCACTTCTAAGTCCTATTCTGAAATTCTTGAAATTAAATCCTCTGGGTATGTTGCTGCCAAGTTAGAGCATCTATAGCCCAGAATTTTACCACTTTCAAGTCAAAGAAGCGTTATAGTCCTTCAGGCTCTCATTTTGCTAAGAAAAAAAAACTTAATAAATTGCTTAATAAATTCACAAAATAATTCAACTGCTTTCAACAATACCAATTTATATATGTACCACTGTGCAAAACCGCAAACAAACAGAAAGCTGGACTTTGTAAAAGAAAACAGTTAATTACTATTTAACTACACAGAGCAGGTGGTTTCCTGTGTCTCCTATCATAAGTCACCAGAACACCACTGAGTTCTGGTTGTAGGTCCTATTCACAACTACCTAACCTAACCCCAACATCTCCTAGCTGTCATCTGTTCATTCCATGGCTTAATTCAGAATCCCAGAAATGAAGAGATGCAAGACAACAAGGTGGATGATGGAATAAATTATGCACACAGCATCTCAGACTGTAACAGCAGCTCTTCAGCTATTCCTCCACTCTTCTGTTAAGGAACTTCAGCTGTTCTGTAGCTCAGGCTGCAGTGGACTAGGTCATAACACAAGGAAAAGCTGGAGCAGCCATGTGGAAGCAGCATGACACACTTGCATATTCTCTAGAATCATTATAAAGTTGGTGTTTCAAAGCAGTATATACTGCTTTGCAAAAAATACTGCAATGAAACACTACAGTGCAATGCTATCTACTTTCCAGGAGCAGCATGGGTTTAGGAAAACACATGGGTATGTAACTGGGCTGGTTCAAGATCCAAGCTCACTTTCAACAAGGTTCTGGCATCACTTCAGCTTTTTAGAACATGCAACAAACTTGGTGACTACCCTAAGTCAAATAAAATGATTGGTTTTAAGGATTAAATACTGCATATAATGTTTTAAACCAGATTATTATGGCAGTTAACAGAGCAGGACAGAGAACACCTTAACACTTTTTCATGTGTTTGTCCCTGTGTTTGACACTTGTGAGCCCACATCTAGAGTACTGTGTCCAGCTTTGGGCTCCACAACTATACAAAGATATGCTGGGAAGTGGAGCAAATTCAGACATGGGGCCAGAAAAGACAAAGTAAGAGGGGAAGTGAGAGAATATGAGTTTTGCGCAGCCTGGAGAAAAGCAGGCTGACAGGGGATATAATTGGTGTCTTCAATTACCTAACTGACAGTTACAGAGAAGAACGAGTCAGTCTCTCCTTGGAAATGCACAGCAAAGGACAAAAGGTGAGGGCTGAAAGTTGCAGCAGTGGAGTATCTGAAGATGATCAAACCCAGGAACAGGTTGCCCATGGTGACTGTTTTATTTCCACCATTGGAGGCACACAACACTTTACCAGACAAGGCCATGATCTGATCTAACTTTGAAGCTGTCCCAACTCTGGGGAAGGGCTAGGCCTCCCCTAAGGTTGTCTCCAGGATAAATTATTCTGTGATTCTAGAAAACCGAATGCATTGTTTTCAACATTTTTGATCACAGTGTGGACTAGATGGTAGGTTCTTTTTTTATATGCTTAAAATAGATCTGAAGTTATGGCTTAGGTGCACAATGACAACTCTCTACTGTATTTGTGCATGGGGCAGCTTTGATAGGTAATCTCAATTGGTTGAAAGCAGGAATATGCATAGTTTTTGTCTTTTATGGTGACAGAAACCCACAAATGTTTTCCGCTTCTTTGAATAGATGGAATTGGTTTTGTCCTTTGAAAGAAGACTGAAGATTTTTGCATGACAAAATTTGATAAATTCTATCTTCTTACATCCTCTTCCTAGCAGGCACACTGTCAGACTTAGTCACTGCCAGAGGTCAACAGGATGAGTGGAGAAATAGGAAGGCTCCCTGTTGAGATGAGGTTGCTTTTCAGGCCTGCTTGATTCTTGATAGTGAACCAGCATGTGCAAAGCCAGAATTGGGCAATGCTACAGTTCGGTTTTGAGGCTTTCTGAGGCTGTTAAAGAAATTAAAATCAACAAAGTTCTCAAGGGGTTTCTGGTCTTTTTTTTTTTGTGGAAGTACTCATCTCTTCTGCTTGTGGCAAGTACAATGGGGAAGAAGCCTCTTTCATTACCATATAAAAAGAAAAAAAGGGCTTTGAATACTATTTTATTTAGCATTAAAACATTGCTAGTTCTAATTAACCAAAAATATACACGGGGAACAGTCTAAAATTACTTCGAACTCAAACGCAAGTTTTCCCATGACCAAATATATCAAACTGCTGTAACGGCTCATTAATATATATACATATTACTGAAGTACACAGCAATCTACTATTTAGTGCTCTTCACACAAAATGTTTTTTCAAGAATTTAAACCAACTAGAACTAAAGTTTCCAAAATTTTTATTATGTATAATACAGTATGATACACTGAAAAACAAAACCAGCACAGACCAAAAAATATAAAAAAGAGGAAACGAAAAACACTATACATACATCCCACACTAAGTCTGTAGCATAGAAGTGAACTTCCAATTTTTAAAACTGTTCCATTCCTATACATGATGCAAAAGTTAGGTTGTGGCTGGTGAAGAATTGGTAGATTTTAAAATAAAACACACTTTCAGAACCAGATGCAATTACAAGAGAGTCCAGATCTTTATCAGTTATGAACATATAACAAATGAGCAGTTTTTTATTTAAGCATATTAAAAAGCAAAACACAGTAAACTTTCAAATTAGGACACAAGACAATAGCATGCATTGGAAGACTTGTACTATGCAAGTTCTACATAAATCTTGAGGTCTGCAGGTAAAAAAATCTGTACTCTCTCCCCCCTGCAAGATACCTCAGAAATGGCATCCAGGCTTATTGCATATGAGGATAACACTCGTCTCCAATTCAGGGTTATTTCCTGACTCCAATGACAAAAGAAAACAGATTACAACATGAAAAAGATCACAAGCTCACTTACCACACAGCTGGAGCAGGTAGTAGTACATCTCATCTCTATCACATTCAAATAGATTTTGAGTTAATTCTACAAAGTGTTCCAAAGTCTCCATCTTTAAAAAGAAAGAAGAAAGAATATAGTTATATCTCAGTCAAACAATTAATATATGTGCACTTACATGCTGTGTGCATTCAGAAATATTAAAAATAATATTTCTGCTTAAGTATACACTAGTATTTACACAGAGCATTAAGTTCACCTCATCAGCCTGTCACACATCCTTTCACAAACATAAAAATCAAGGAATGAAATATTTCAAAACTATTTTTCTTGGAATATAATGACAGTTACATAGAAGACATCATATGAGCCACATACCTGATTATTTGTTATACACTTTTTTGCAAACCACTGCAACCTTCCAGAGTGTGCTCTCAAGCCAGGAGTCTGTAAAATATTTCCACAAGAAGAAACACATTACTCCACATAGAACATTCTAAGGAAAGGTAAACATAATAGATGTACTCATGATAAAAGCTCATAGTTTTTGTTTGTTTTTTGAAACCTGAATGAGGCTACAAGCTCACAAATAATCAAGTTAGGTTGCATTTATGAGAGACCTAAAAATTGCAGTAATTGTATTCAAGACATTTTCCTTTTTGACAAAAACACTGCCAAGAGATTTGATTTCAGATACACTTCAGATAAACTGAATAAGTTAAATAATTTCTATCACCACAGTAACAAAGTATTGTTGCTATATTACCCATGGTAATAATTTGTGTTACTCATGGTAAAGAATAACACCAAATATTTCCAAGCTGTCTTCACAATGAAATGTATTTGCATTCAACACCACTGCAATGTCTTAGCAACTAGAAAACCATGCCTCTCAACCACAACATCACCATTCAGTACCCCTTCTCTGCTAGTATTAGCCATTTTCTTACAACTATTAATACCTAAGAACAATAGCGTTATTAGATATTGACTTCTCTTGCTCAGTTAAAAACCCAGGAATTTACAGAGCAGTAACTGTTACAACTGTAACATGCTGCCGATGCAGATGCCAAGTATACTAACTGTAAGGCAACTCCTGTCCAAGAACAGAGAAGTGTGTGTACACAGAGTAACTGATGCATAGTAGTTACTATGCTATTGTTATTTCTGTTCTTAATTTTCCCAACTTTGATGAGCCTTTGCTTATTCATTCCTTTGCTGTTTTGAGCAGACAACAGCTACAGAATACATATTCTCAAAAAGGTTTCAATCCTTGGAAAGTCCATCTGGTATAGAACTACCACATTGTGTCTGCTCAGCACCACAGACCATAATCAAAATATCTGTTCCTCCACTTAAATAAATTCTTAAATAAACACAGAAAAACTCAAAGTTCTTGAAGAAACATATTTTGGGGCATGCCAGTACTTATGTCTGACATATCTAAAAAAGTGATACAAAAAAAGCCTTGTGTGCAAAGCATCCATAATTTTCACCTCTTACCCTTCCCTCCCACAGAGTACTTGAATTTACTTTTGTTATACTCTCTTAGTACAAGGATCATTTACAGAGAGGATTCTGCTTTCATTCAGGTGTCCAGATTTACATTAATATAACTCAAAGCGATTCCGAGGAAATGCCTGTTCATTCCTACAGAGAAATACATGTTTTGACTCTTGAAGGCTTTTAGCTTTTATAGTAAGAAGTCTCTGTTTAAACGTGAAGTGCAACTTCCAAAATTTCAACACCACTTCGCATGAAAGAGGCAGTTTGAATTAAAAGCTGTGAGAAATATTGTGTCTCAGTTCCAAAACAGTGGAAACAATTACCATTGAAAAAGTCAGTTAACCTTCTGTCTTTTTAACACAGATAATTTCCTTTTCCTGTATTCTCAAAGAGAAGAATTATTACCATTGCATCTTTCTGAAATAATTCAGCATACACCAGAAAACCAGCATGTTAAACTTAAACAAAACTGTTAAAATTTGTTATAGGAAACTGTGTTCTGCAGAGTAAGTGTTAGGCCATATAATCCTACCAATCATCCAAACAATTTTAAGCAATCATAGTAAGATTTTTTTTTAAAAATAAGACCTTAAGCCCACAGTTCTCCAACATGGAGCATCTTCTTTAGTTATTTAACTGTACTATAAAAATAGTCTGAACCCAAGAGATTACAGAAAAATAGCAGCTTCTCGAGTATTCAAAAGTGGCATATATTAACAGAGTTTTGCTTTCCAGGTACTTGCTTTTTTTCCAATTAGTTATTCTCCCCCTCACCTCCCCGTTATGTTTATAGGTACCCGCTCAGTGCTTTCTTAAGAGCTACCACGCAGTTTCACACAAAATATGTTGAAAACTAAGTCAAGAATTAACATCTTACACAACAGGCTCTTGAAAATGAAAAAGAAGAAAGTATGTTGCCTGCATTTGTAGCTAATCCTCTTTAGGACATGGTAAAATTCAAATGCTGAATTCACTTACAACTTCCAATATCATTGCTGATCCAAATGCCAATGAACTCAACAGCTCCAAAGCTACAAACTTTTTATAGTAAATCCGCTCCTGTTCAGAAATGATTGATGTGTCTGTCACTACAAGGACAGCTGAGTTATACAACAGATATCCCTGTTTCATTTTGAAATTGAGAAGTGTTTTCACATACTGCAGGTCTCAATCATCAAAAGAGCATCTAGGTCAGATTAACTAAATCTCCAGGGCTTGCCTGATAGTCCATATTTGTAGCTTATCCCTTACCATCTTAGGGAATTTTTAACATTGCATTTAGCAGGAAGCAGACTTTCTACAATACAGCAGACTAAAACACAGAATAAAAAAATGCAGCGAATAAAAAAAAATTTAAGTAAAAACCTGTTACTCTAATTACTTTTCCAAATTTCCATTTACTATTTTGATCTTGCTTGTTTCAATGGATTAAAAAAAATATTACTGAGTCTTAGTGTTTTGGGGTGGTTTTTCTGTTTGGTTGGTTGTTTTTAAAAAAAATTTTAAAACATTCACTGCTTTCAAGAATGAAACAACAATTGAGAGTCTCAAGCAATTCATAGAGTATGTAAACTAAACATGGGAGGTTTTCTGGCTTTTACATTCTCTTGGAATATGAAACGGTTGTACTGTAGCAAACCAAATGTTCATGTAGCTTGTTATCCTCTCCCTAACAATGCCTATAGGAGAATATAAAATGATAGAAAACCCAGCAAATACGTCCCCTTTAGTGCTCTTTCACACTCCAACTACTTGAAGTTCAGTGGGTCACACTGTTTCTAGTAAGTGATTTCTCTTTCATGAGGTTGTCTGGTTGCCCCTGGAACCCCATAATATTTATCATTCATAAGATCTTTTGGCAAAGGGGTGCCTCAACTACCTTCTACAGAAAAAAAGCAAAATACTACAACTTTTTGTTTGTTTTCAGCCTAGCTTCTACTAGCTTCATTTGAAGCCCCCAGATTTGGCAATGCACAATTGCTTTCTCTTTATCCTCTCCATTTCATATTAATTTCATGAGTGGTTTATAATTGCCACTGTTTCTTCTTCAGACTAAGCTGAACTCACCTACTTAGTCATATCTCCTATAGAAACAATTCCGTACTTTTTCATCACATTTGTTACTATCTGAGGCTCAATATACAACCCACAACCCTACACTAATTTACTCACTGATTCTATATCTTCACACACAGGAAGTAATACTAACGAGAAGGGGAAAATCTATGCTGCATCTTTACGAGAACTCTTGCCAGCAGCACTTAAAAACCATGAAAATGCAACAATCCTAACACACTGAAAGCATTTGATTTGTTCTCCTTCCTAGAACCAGTCACTTCAGACAGGTGATTGAAGGGGTCCAATCACCAGAAAAATCTTTTCTGTACTAACATGTTTATTTGAGCTAATTTCTACCTATTACAGCTGAAAGAAAACAGATTGTCTGGGAAAACACTGACCTGTCAGAGAGGAATCTATTCAATGTTTTTCCAGATTTTTAGACAATGATAGAAATATTCAACTTTTGTTTACATTAGTGTTCTGTAACGGTTACAGCTAATAGACCAATACTATCTTTTTTTACTTTTAAAAAAAACTTCTTTTAAAAGAAGTTAAGTAATTTAGAGAAGACATATGGAAAATATTTATTTGCTTTTCTCTACTTGCCTAGAGCAACCTTTTTCTCTTTAAACACAAAACTTACTTAGAGAGAAAAAAACGTGAAAACCAACATACAGACCAGAAACCCTGTGGTATTTTTCAAAAAGAGGACTTCCATGAAAGTAAGCATTGAGAACGTCCCAAAACAGAACCACTTTTGCTATAGCTTGCTTAGGATGCGTAACTATTTAAAAGCCAGCAGAAATACGTTTCCTTTGGCATATACATGACATGAGATGCGTTACTCTCTTGTTTTAACCTTCCAACACTACACTTCCATGAACTGTGCACTGGTTGGCAAAATAATTGTTGCATATTTTGGAAAACTTATTCTAGCCTTTCACAGTATAAGTTCACCGTGAACACCACACCAATTCTAACCATTCAAGTTTAATTCTGCCCGCCCTGAGTACTTCTAAATCTTCACATTTTCTTCGCAATGTTCAACCTTTTCCTAGGGCAACAGTTCTACTATAATCACTAATCCAAAAATATTGTAAAGAAACAGACAAATTTTATAAATGCCATCCATGGTGCACTTTCTGATGGTATTTTTTGGACAGGTAGATCCATTCATTCCTCTCTTTGCAGCTGAAAAAGCCAGTAATAATATGAGACAGCTAATGCTCCTAAAGTAAGAAGAACATTTCATGATGAGTTACATCAACAGCCATACCAGACTTATGTTACCAGTATCAGAACCAGTTACTGAGACTTAGATGCCAAAGCAATGTCTTGCAAGAAAAAGCATTACTTCTCCAAACAGACATCCTTGAACAGACAGCTATAAGAACCGATGTATGTCATTTCTAACAGCACACTCCACCATAAGCATCAGTGAAAACAGAACATTTGATGAGAGGTTCTTAATTTAAAGACAGATTTTTCCCTGATTCCACAAAAATGTCTATGAAAATCTCACAAATTCCATGCAGCTTCAATGAAGCCTGGGATATTTTTGCATGGCATCTTACTTGAACAAAGGTTTTTTACAACATAAACACCATATGCTATGCTTGAATCTTCCCTTATGTTAAAATTCTTGGCAGAATTCCTCACTTCTACAAAGCAGCAGGTGTACTGCTTAATCAGAAAGTTACAAGAATATGCAGGTACAAAATTTTTGTACCTTACATATCTAAGTCTAATTGATAGATGAGATGGTTAAAATTATGTACACTTCTGTTATATTTTTGCCTCTTATTAAATACTCCTTCACCTTCAAATAGCAAAGCACTAGTTTTAAAAAAATACTGATTAAAATATTTACTTTCTTTTCT